TCGGTGATTGCACAAAAACGCACTTTCGAAAGCTTGTGGTGCTTGGTGCATGTGCTTATCTTCATCAAAAGCGAATAAATCATACCAGTTCCAAGCTCAAATCGGGTTCTGTTTTTGCATCAAAACAATCGCTGCATTATTAACGGGCGGACGTCTATCATGGCAATATCAACAAATTTCAACGCCTTATAATTAACGACGTTTTGATGTAACTATTCCATATCGACGTCCACAGAGTGACCGGCCGACCGATTCATTCAATCACAACATCGACGGGGTAGATCGAAGGTGTGAACGATGCTAGAGGCAATACCAGATCCTTTGTTACGCGTTCAAAACGCGTACCCGTCGTACCAGCCCCCACCATACCAAAACGGTGGTCATCATCATATGGCTGTTTTAAGAGAAAATTATCAACCAGAAATGCGCACGCGTACTTTATACTATGTATATCGTATATCAGTGGATAGATATCACTCCCATACGAATATATGAATATCGCACGACCTTGATGATGAATATATTTCGATAATTCGCTATTCATTCGCTTCATTAGTATCTGATCCTTATTTACCCATTCACTTTCACAATTATACTCATCGAAGCAGTTGTTCGATTTCGATTTCATTTTTTTTCTCAGTTCATCAGTCACGAGACTATGGCGGGTCATTTGATGATCGAATCAAAAATCAGCCACTTCCTTATACCGATGAAGATCTTTTTTCCACAAAAAAAATACCAATTATAAATCACCGCAGATGATGATCGATGATTCAAAATTAATCCCTATGAAAAAGATCTTGATTCTTCGATACCGTGGAATAATTTGAACGAATCGTTCACTCGTTTTTGAAATCACTAATTCGCTGTGATAACAATGAAATTTATGAACACACTTCGGTGATTAAACATCACGATTTACGCGCTTTTGGACATCAGTCTGATCTTATAATAAAATTCAATTGAAGTATCAAAGCACACCGCAAATGCAACACTTTTCAAAATGAGCGCATTCTCGAATTTTACAGTGTCGCATTCTTTGAATACATCCGAACAATAATATGCAATAAAAACTGCAATTGCAATTTTGCTGCGAGGCACTCACTTGATCGCCGATAGTGCAGAATCAAGATATTTTTTGTTCGTTCTTCTGTTC